AATAGGGTCCACAATATGATCTAAAAATGGTAAATAATAAGGTATATCAAGAGGACTTACTGTAGGAGGTGGATTGCATCCCTCCACAAGGCCTATAAAGTAGATGATCCAGCCCACGAAAACAGAGCAGCAGCTCGGCTCGCAACCATTCAGCCGTAAATCGGCTTCTCTTAAGACTGCTTTTAGCAGGTCCACGAGTGACTAAAAGCAGTCATCTAGACAGCTTAACTTAACAACCTGATTGCCCGGCCCGACGAACGAAGGGCCCATTAAAGTAAGACGAGTTAGGGCAAGGAAGAAACGCGCTGACGACTATATAAAGAAGAGAGGAAGCAACTGGAAATGGATCCAAAATCATCTACATACAGTTGGCGGCTAGAATTAGGGTTTTTATTTCTCTTGTATTCAGCCAACTTGTACTTTTCTGGCCAGATCTCCGAGCACCGGTTTACTTCTTCTGCTTATTCCCTTATTTGTAAACCGACGAACTTCTTTGAATCTAATAAAACACTTTTGAACTAACCCACTGACGAGTTTCTTCTTTTTTAACTGGATACCGACCAAACTCGGTTCAAATACATTAATCTATAATCGTATGGAAAAGTAAATGGTAACGTGCAAGCCTTTCTCTATACAGTAATCTATAATCGTTTTGTTATTTTCAAATCTGGAGTAAAGAATTAATAACTAGATTAACTGGTTATGCAAGTATGTGATATATGTATGTGTTTCCTTTCAGGTTAACAGTGTGAGGATTGCTCGGTTGAAATTCCCTAATGAAGAGGATGTCCAAAAGTTATGAATCAAAAGCTGGTAGTTGGTGGTCACGAGTTGGAGACGAAACCAAAGAGATCTTACTAGTCATGAAAAAATTTCATGTTAACTATCTCCTATTTAATTATGTTTTCTCTATTAATTATTTGTATGGTTTTGCTTATTAGATCATATGATTTTCAGAAAAGATTTTGATATTGATAGGGAGATATATATATATGTTGGATTAAGCTTGAAATAGCTTGAGCTACAAGCTACCTAATCCTAATGTGTTGTAGTTATCTATAAGGTGTTATGTTTATCTAAAAGGATTAGGAAATATGTAGTTAAGTTAATCCTAGTGAGTCTAGGATAAATATAGCCTTATATAAGGAGATGTTGGGGTGTGACATCCCATAAGTTAGATTTGAGAGATTTGAGTGTTTTAAGGTTTTGAGAGAGTTTTTCCTTAAAGAGATTAATAACAAGTGAGTTCTTGTTTCGTGTTCTTGAGATTCTTATATTCGAGTTCAAGTTTCTGTGATCTGATTTCTATAATATAAAGAAAAGTTTGCTGATCACCTTCACAAAAGGGTTGTGCTAATCATATATGAATTGTTCGAGCTGGACGAGGAAACATAGTGACAACAAAAGCGGGTCAAGATGGATCGACAAGAAGTTGAACCAAGAGCAAACCGTTCTGAAGCAGCTAAGATATATGTTTCTATATGCTGTGATAATAGTTACAGTAGGTTACTGAACTAGACTAGGTGAACATATGAAAATGAACTAAATCGTGTTGAAGTATTATGCCTAAAAATCTTAACTAAAGGGAAAACTTTGAAAAGGAACCCTTCACGGCCCCTTAAATGTTGCTCTCATTGAAACTGTTATCTATAATAATAAAGTAGACTCATTTTCCTCCACAGTCTTCCACGTCATTAGGAATCATAGGGCGTTTTGCGCCACGTCAGCGCCTGTCCAAACCGGATTTCCGCTTAATTAAATCATGTGTAATTTCGGTTGGGTTATCTAAACGACTGGGCTTTTATTTCATACATTTCGTCTAGCCCAGTAAAATGTTAAGCGAAGCCCATATTGGTATTAGGTATCGCCTTCTTCTCTACTGCGTCTCCCAACGCTATCTGACGCCATTACACAAAAACTTAAACGCCTCTCGGATCACCTTTACGTTTCAAGCTCGCATTAATAGCTGATTAACTATGGGTTTCTCCATTACTATCCCACTCCTCCCACTGGGACGCATTCAATCGATTTCTTCACATACCATAAGCCCCCTTCAAAAATACCATTATAAAATATCAGAACACTCCAACGATGTACAATGCAACTCAAATGATTCCCAAAAGAAACCTTTGTTCTACCAAACGATTCCGACGATGGCGTCTTCACTGGGAAATATGCTAATGGTTGATGCCAAGGAAATGTATTTTGTTTCACTGGGGTTTTTTTTTGATTAACTTATGTTATTATCGATGTTGTGTTCAAGATGTTGTCTGAGTAACCTACTTTCTTCTCAGGTGATGGTGGTTCCTGCATAGATAAATGTACACTGGCCAAACACCTTCTAACACTTATTGAATGAAGGGTCTGTTTATGAGCTAGGTGCTTTTCATGTAACAAGAAGCAACCAGAACGTCTTTGTGGAGATATCTGAAACTTTTCAAACCAATCCCGATGGAGCACTTCAGGTTTCTGAATTTCGAGCTCATTGACGCCTGTTTGGAAACACTTGGTCGGGAGCGAAGCAAATCCAGAGGCGATGGGTGTTAGAAAAAGAACAAGAAGTAGAGTAGTCACTGTACGATATCAGTTAAATGTATAGGCCAGCATGTAAGCATAATCACTCTGACTCTGTTATTTTAAATCTCTTTGCATTGATCAATCACAGCATTCAGTAACACACGACTCTAAAGTCCTCCACTTTCTGTAACACAAGATAGTTGTTTAAATTTGGAGACTTGGAAAACTCTTTTTGTATCACTTGAAATGATGTTGAGTTAACTTTTATATGGTAGCAGAGTTGTAGAGTCATGAAGCTTATCTCACTTGCCATGAACGTTCATTCTTGTCAATGCCAACTCAAAGTAATCTGGTATGTCCAAGTACCCATCAGTTTATGATCTGTATGGTTCTAGAGCCCAGCCTTCAAGCAAGATCGTGGAGCTAGACAGCTAGCTGAGCGTATACCTGCATTGTCTGAGACAATTTGTCTCCAAAAGCGTGGAAACAAATTTTGTCCTCCACTCAGTGAAC